CCTCGTCTGCACACCCTTAAACCTTAAACCCTAAACCCTAAACCCCAAACCCTAGGGGTTTTAGGGTTTAGGGTTGGCTGTGAAGTGACAGGATGTGAGTGGGCTAGCCAAGTCTCACGGATGGTTGGCGAGCTCGGATCCCTTTCAAAACACGAACTTCAAAGTACAGTAAAACTCCTAGGGTTTAGGGTTTTTGGTTTAGGGTTTAGAGGTCAGGGTTTAGGGTTTAGGATCTGGGGTTCAGGGTTTAGGGGTTCAGGGTTTAGAGTTCAGGAATTATATTATGGGTTGTTGTTCAACCCCTCGGACTTTTTCGTCTGCTCGCGGGTTTAGGGTTTAGGGAATGGCTACCCCCCAAACCCGAAGCACCTGCACAATCCTAACAACCCTAAGTACACAAGAAACCCTTGATCGTCTACGTCAAAGTGGGCTAAATATTCTTAAGAGTGGCCAAGCGGCCTTCCGTTCGGCTCAACAGGGACCTCGACATATTCGCCGTCGTCCTGACCATTTTTGGTTTAGGTTGGGTACTGCCCCCACCCAGTAACAGTCTATATTAGGGGCCCTATCAAGGGCTATATATAACCATATTATATTTATTATCCAACTGTTACTGAGGGGGCAGTACTGAAGGTTTAGGGTTTAGGGTTTAGGGTTTATGGTGTCCGTTTCCCCACACTAGGGCTTTAGGTGTAGGCATAGAAGTAAAGGGGTATAGTTGCCTGGGGAGCATCGCAGAAAATGCGCGTGTCCACTGCACACCCAAATGCGACAATCCTTTCTCTAGAGCACAGAACCCTCTGAAAGCTCTCATATGAGCCCTGGACTAAATTTATAGTATATCCCTACTGAGTCCCGCCCAAACCCCTATATAGTCCCCTATAGGTCCCCCCAAAAGGCTACCAGGCATGGGGGAAAACCGTGTTTGCTCTAGATCTCAAACCTTCCTGCCAGGTGCAGGGGAGTTGGCCCCTTTCGGCAGTCTGAAGATTCATTTGCACCCTGCAGAACCTAATTGGTAATACCATAAATCCCGAGGTTCAAGGTACAGAGTCATGCAGGACATGGATGCCACGTCATCGCCCCATTAGGAGTAGCTACATGTGCGGCTGACTGCGTCGAAAGGCTCTCTGCTTCCTCCTGTGTGATGATCCCTTTGTGAACCAGGGCTTTCTTGGCCTGTCTGCTCTCGCGCAGAGGGCCTCTTCCATGTTCCGGCTTGCTCTGGGACCTCTTGGTGGAGGTTGCTGTCTCATTCTCGGAAGGCGGGCCCTCCACCAAGTCCTCCATGTCCTCATCGGGCACTTTCGTGCTTTCGGTGCGGGCATCGAGCCCCTCCAAGGCCTTCTTGTCCAACTTCTTCACACTCCCGCTGGCCGGCTCCATGTCGGCGCACACAAAGATCTACGAATTGAGGTGTATATAAAAAGGTGCCCCGCCAAA